TTATCTTTAGTATTTTTTTGTAGTAGTGAATTCTGTAAAGATAGATACATTTTATTTATAATTCAATTTTTTGTATCATTTGAACCAGTAAAGCAGCGCTAAGTGTCATATGATCATTGACAATTTGAACAACTGTCAAAACATGTTATATGATTCCCTTTCAATCTTCCTCATGCGTTAATTTATACCCTGCCAATGGGCTCTTTACATTGTTTGCAGGTGATCTTGCACATTATTTGCCAAAGCACTGATCGTACTTCATCCTGATGAATTCTTTTTAAGAAAGTCACTTGATATTGATAAACTCGAAAGAACTCTCATTCCAGTTCTTTTTTATTGTTCAAATATCATTTATTTTTTTGAGTTTCTTTATTTTTATTGCTTTAATACTTTGTATCAATAATAAAAATTTCAAAAGCAAGAAAACAAAATAATATATTATTGATATGAGCAGTTCATCATAATTATTATTCTATATAAAGAAAATGATTGAGTTGTTAAATTTAGATACCTTCGCTTTCAAAATAGTCTGCACATATGTCCTTGATTCTTTCTTCATACGTTGGAAAATATCAATAAGCCGTGATTACGAGTAAAACGAAAGACGAAAATCGCATATATACATGCTCTCATATCTGATCACCTGCACATGTTTTGCTAATGTAAGAGGGGTGGCCAATATATTCTTTTTTTTTCCTGTATACATCAATTAAGGATTGTCCTTCATGTGTAAGACGAGAAAAAAAGCATTACCTACAGATTATTTTATGCGACTGCTTGTTGTTTTCTACTAAAGTAAGAGAAGTAGTCTATGCATCTGTGATCACTTAGACGAGAGNAATTTTTTTTCTTCATGTATATGTATTTACTTGTTATTACGTATTGTTCGATGATCGATTGAACACCGACTTTCAGATAATTTATGAGTGTTTATTTGCCAATTTTTTTCGTGTACTCAAAAAGTGAGTACATTCTAGAATCGGTCAGTGTGTCCGTCCGGCCGTCCGTCTGTATACACGATAACTTTTGAAAGGAGAGTCAGATCACGATAAAATTTTCTACACAGTTTAGTCTTAACAATGTCTCGATCGAGTTCGAAGATGAGCATGATCGGCCGAGCCATTCGTGAGTTATTTCAAAAATAGTCATTTTTCCCTATGGCTTCCTATGCGAAAATCGACCCATCCCAGCTTTCGTAAAAGACTTTTCCCATCATAGTCAAATAAAACCCCAACTATTATACACCATTCGATAGAGAATTTCACGAGCTGCAAAATGGTATATAAAACATAAAGGAACGAGAAGGCTAACTCACCTACTACAAAGATAATTAAACGGAAATAGGTTCCGTTTTTGTCCACCATCTAATTGACTCACAATTCGAGCTCTATCTTCCGATCATAGAGTTGATACTTTGAGGTTTTCTGGGGCGGAGAACTCGAATCCGTACTCCACTTGCCTCGAAATACTATTGGTTGAGCAGTGACCAATAGAAATCAAGTTATAGGAAAAACGACTTTCTTAGGGTAAATCAAGGCGAAGAGTTCAAATTTGAGCTCTATTCGCCTTCAAGCCCTATTGATGGATCAATAGTCAACAGAAATAAACAGTTTATAGGAAAGGTTTCTCAGTATAATTTTGATATCCACATATTCTAGGATGACTCATCTGTCTAATTCACTTTTTGAAGTACACATAACTCTCGGATTTAAATCCGAAGTTTCCGCATTTATTTTAAGATACATTTTATCTAGTACAAAAAAAGTTCCTTTGTTTTCAATTCATTTCTTCATAAGCTAGTATTCTATGTCAAAAATATAAGATATACCATAAGATTCAGCGTAAAAAAGTTTATTTTGTGATCACATGTTTTGCTTCTAAAATGTGCAGAATTCTGTGATGCTATGAACACGATTATTTTTTGCTGCACAATACATTTTTTCTCTTAGTGCTTCAGTTAATGATTAGTATCGAAGATAATCATTGATAACTATAATTAAATCAGTCAACATATATTTCAATTGCAACAATATGTAATGGGATAGAGTTAAAAACAATGGTTTATTAATTAATAAAATAAGACAAGGAACTCATTACGTACTGAAAAAAAAAATCTTTTGCATAATATTGAAAATTACTGACTCTGATTTATGTTCATTTCAAAAAAACAAAATGTAACAAACGTTGTATTCCTGAGTGTGCTTTGTTTTTGTTTCAACACATCGTACTAGATAATTATTAAAATATTGGCTTGAAAAAATGAACTTTTCAGTTCGTGAGAGACTGATTGATAAGGTGACAAATTCATCAATTAGTGTAATTTCGATGTGATATATATGCTGGTAAGATAAAACCAAAAGAATTCGTTTTTTTTGTATCTTGTCAATATGTAAAGGATACCGCGGGATTTCATCGTAAATCTGCCTTCTCTCAGTTTTAATTCTCAATATTATACAAAGATAGAGCTTGAGATTCTACACCTTCCTGGATATTTTGTTTTCTTTTTTTTATCAGAAAAACATTTTCCCTAGATCACACTGTCTGAGGGGATCTATAGATCTTTCGTAGATTTTTAGTGTTTCGGATGAAAATTGTAATGTTTATAATTTTTTTTCCATTTTAATCTCAATGCCACAACTAATAATATAGACCGATGCAGCTTTTCACACTCTACAAACTATATATTATTCATATTTCTTACAAGTTTTTTTTCTCGAGTTATATAAGATTAAAATTGGATTAGAATCACTGGGTGTGGGGTGTGGGTGTGGCTGTTGTCAATGACCCACACCCATACCCACACCACACCCACACTCACACCCACCCGTACCGATACCGAGGTTGAATCGAGACTCTTCGTCTCCTTCATTCTCCGCTAAGAAGAAGAAGGAGAATATCCCGCCTTTCGGCTAACTTGCGGTAGAGAGTGCTGTCCGAAGACAGTTTCGAGAAGCCCGATATTTTCCTACATCTATTACTAGATGTAGCTCTGGACAGAAGGCCGGCCTGAATCAGAGTTCTTTTCGCTTAATTTCTTAAGCTCCCCATACATATTGACTAACCACATACTAAAGGGTGGTCAGAAAGTTTCGACCCCTCTCTGTAAATTGATGTTATCTACATGAATACATGTGTAGATAGTTGATTGAAATATACAGTTTTGTAGAGAATGAGAAGGGCTATCATCTGAAAAAAAGATAATTGAAATTGTGTCGTAGCTATGAAAAGTTATGATCATTTTATTCATGATGACAAAGCAAAAACACGTTACATTTTTTGCAAAAACAAAAAAGTACTTTAATTTTTGAGGCATTTAAGTCGAGTGAAACATTGTTTTCTGCAAGTTTCTGCAAGATATTTTTATATGATCCGATAGAGTTGGACAAGCTCTACCAGAATATGAATATCAAACAAAGATTCTGATCTTCCTTTCAATACAAAACTTGGAGGAAATTAGAAAGTTTAATACAAATCTGACATATCTTGCATTAGAGAGTGCGCTTGACTTCGAATAACTTTAGCTTATCGACTATTAATTTATGTTTCGAGCTGCAGTGTCATGTATTGAAGTTAAAACTAACCTTTCCGAGCTTCCTGGATAGACGGAACAATCGATCAGCTGAAGATATTGAAAGTTTAGCATACTCTCTCTTATGCAAGATATATGGAATTTTTATCAGTCTTTCTGATTTTCTTCAAATTTTTGTATTGGAAACAGCATCAATTTTTTTAAATATTCATATTCTTGTAGGGCTCGTCGAACTCTATCGAACCATATAAAAACACCTAGAAAACCATATTTTGCATCACACATTAGGAGCATATTTTCTTTTCCAAAAAATGTAACGTGTTTTTGCTTTGTCATCATGAATAAAATGATCATAACTTTTCATAGCTACGACATAATTTCAATCATCTTTTTTTCAGATGATAGCCCTTCTCATTCTCTACAAAACTGTATATTTCAATCAACTATCTACATATGTATTCATGTAGATAACATCAATTTACAGAGAGGGGTCGAAACTTTCTGACCACCCTTTAGCTAGAAAAAATTCTTGGTTGTTTTTTTTTTTTCGTTTTGCTTGTTTTTAGTTATTTTCATTATTTTATTATAGAGGAAAACACAAGTAGGACGAGTATTAAAAAGATAAAAAGGACCAAAGGTAATAAATAAAGTAAAAAATATGTGAATAATAATTGACAAGACATAAAGATCATTAAATATAGAAAGGTTTGATTGAAACAACATGCATTTGTTGTAAATTGATAATTTATTCAATGACGACTTTGATGATTTATCTAATGTAAATAGTCATGTTTAGCAGATGATATAACTTGTTTCTTATATAAATAACATTTTTTTTTCATATATATAACTATAATGAATCATATTGACCTAAAATTTTCGAGTTATTTCAGTATTTATTATTTATTATCTGCTGAATATCTAGAATAATAATATAATTACTTTAGTCATCATTGTAGAAGATGTATATATAATAGAATTGATGAAATATTTTAAAATGAATAAAATACTAATAGAGCTATTTTTCAATCAATTATTTCGTGAGAACTTTTTCTTATTTTAATCGATTGCTAATATATTTATAAATATTGATTTATATTTTCTAATATAATCTGTCTGATTTGAAATGTTTTTATTTACAATATGATCGTTTAAATGGTACATATGATAGTCAAATTTTATCTCTTTTACGTCGTATGTCAAATATTGAAGCATTAAATTTACATACTACTATTGATAATCAAACTACATTTATTGATGGTAAACACATTTATAATGAAATTATTGTTCATATGTCACGACTTCATACATTTAACTTTTGTTTTTGTACTTTTATTCAACTGAATTATTTAATTCATCATTTATCTAAATATGATTTTCTACAAACTTTTTCTAACATTATGTGTCAACAAGTGAATTGTATAATGCTTGGTCTTTTTCTTGACTTAAAGTATTACATGTTTTTAATCTTATGCCACAGTCATCAATATCAAATAAATTAAACTCTAATGATAATCAATTATACTCAAAAATTATTGAATATCCTTATCTTATTTTGCTTAATCTTGGATTTGTTCATCATGATTATAACGATCAATTTCTTAATGATAAAAAAGCACATCTACCTCGTTTAACGAAATCAACAGTTAATTACTATAAATTAATAACTGTCACGAAAAATTTTACAAGCGATGGAATACGAGTGAATTGTATGAAAGTGAAACAATTAAATATAAATCCTAAAATACGTATATTTTCAGAAGATTTCTATGTTTATTTTCTTTCGTTATAATTTTAGTTTTGTTTTGATTAACTTAATAAAATGAATAATGAAAACATATGAATAATATTTTTGCAATCAAAACGTATTGAACAACAATTACTAATTATCTATGATGATTAACTCGAGAGTTTTTCGTTTTCTAGACAATTTAGATATATAAAAACAACAGAACTTTTCTAATTCGATTTTTTGCACACTAATTATTTTTATTAAGCAGTAAGTTTCAAGGATTTTAATAGTATTTATTTATTATATAAGTACTGCACAAATTTCCACTTTTTCTGAAGTTTTTATAAATTATCAATGGGAAAAGGAGACTTTTTCTAAGGAAAATAGCTCGTATTCGACCACAAGATTTATTCTTATTTCGTTCATCGAAATTCATTCCTAAGAAAATCGAACATTATATATATGTCGTACCGAAGTTACACCGGTCGACAAAGTTATAACTTTGTCAACAATTTTGTCGAAGTTATTTTTTACACATTTATTGATAAATAATTTTATTAAATTGAATATCCGGCTACTGAATCTATGATCAAAACTAAACATTTTCTAACAAATCTATATTTATTTAACAAAAAAGATCATTCACAAATTATTGAAAAAAAATTGTAAATAGATACAATGAATACCACACATTCGATACGTTAATTATTGGAGAACTATTAGAAATTTATATAATTAAACAAAATTATACATTTAATATTATTCATTCAAACATGCCACCGAGCTATGATACCGAAAATTGCATAAAATATTTGCTTGTTTACATTTACATTTATTTGTTCGACAGCCTGGTTTACAATCACATTTTAAGAAACCTTGGGTATTGGTTATAGATGAGTATTCGTCGTATACTTATTTTGTCATAAAAGAGAATTATACTGTTTCAACTTATATATATGCTTATGACATAACGCTTAAGATAGATCTACCAATTATAATCTCATTAATTTGACTCTGTTTCGTTCTATATTTGAATTTTTAATTAATTTTATTGGCTTTACCTTGGTATTATTAGCATACAATTTATAATTGAAGATATCAGTGATGAGAGCATTTATTCATGTGAAGTTTCAATAGACTAGATTTGCTTGATAAACTGAGAAACCAATTTTCTATTATCCTATAGAATTATTTTACGTTTGTCTTCATGTGAAATTTGATATTGAAGTATAATCTACGGTTTGCGAAAATTCGCCTCTATTTCCGAATCTACCATAAACCTACTGAAATAGAGATAAAAAAAATTGAAACTGATACATCTCAATTTTTTCTAATAATTTGTGAATGATCTTTTTTGTTAAATAAATATAGATTTGTTAGAAAATGTTTAGTTTTGATCATAGATTCAGTAGCCGGATATTCAATTTAATAAAATTATTTATCAATAAATGTGTAAAAAAATAACTTCGACAAAATATCTTGTCGAAGTTGTAACTTGGTCAATTTTTTCTGTCAAAGTTGTAACTTCGATACGACATATACATCAATCGAACAGAAAGCGATATGACTGATCGTCAATATATTATAAACATGTAATATGTTATTCACAACTAATTGACAGTTCTATCATTGACAAATCTCACTAAATCGAAATTCGTACTAGCTAAAATAACTGGAGAAATTGAAAAAAATCGAAGGATATTTGTTTTTGAGATTTTATGATCTCTATGGTTGGATGATTAATTGTGAATATTGTACACTTCTAGTTTACACTTGGTCTAAGAAGTTCCTTGGTCACTGTCATCTAATTGAAGATGTTGATATTCATTTGTAATGCATTATAGTTAAAACGTCTTGTATTTTCTATTGATTTCAATGAAAATAAAATCAAAAGTATCGAAAATTTATTTATTAAAATGAGCAAGAGTCTATCTTTTCGTATTCATATACTGTTAAACTTTTAGACAACGTCGAAAGTCATGTAACACCTATATCATAGATAGACAAATACTCTTAAAATTCTGTAAACTCACTGCTTGAAAAATAGTTCATGCACAAAAAAAACTGAATTAGAAAAGTTCTAATTTTAAATGAGTGTAGCATGTTAATGAGAGATCAACTTGTTAATCGTACAGCATAATAATATGGTTTTTTGTTTACATATTATGAAAACAAACAAAAAAAAACATAATGCTGCACGATTAAAAAGTAGATATATTATATTTTTCAACCTATTCACGTTATTATAAACCACTATCATGAACCAGTATTATTTTTTCTTATATAACTAAGCTTGTGTCGTTAAATCATTCTTTACTTTATACGAACAACAGTCGAGTCATACACATAATGCGCTTGTAGTGAATATATAACAGATGACAGAAAAGAGAAAGAGTTCAAAAAAAAATATTCACATTGAAGAGGTCACAATATCAAAAGCGATCGCAAAAAAATGTTCATTAGTAGAAGTTTTACTGTAAATTGTCCAATAGTTCTTTTATTTCATGCACACACAACTAAACATATTTTCTTAACAAATGCACATATATATTTATCTTATTTTCTTTTTTTTTATTTGTTTAAGCGAATGACAAAAAAATTCATAAGGAAAAATTCCACATAGTAGCAAAAAAAAACAGGAAAATTCGTCACATAAAAAAAGAAAGCAAACACAACAATAACAAAGTACAATGTCTTTTTTTTTTCGATTTAATTTTCATCTTTATTTGGAGTATCATGCGTAAGAAATAATGTATGTTGAGCACCAACAACTATATTAAGAATCATTTTAATATCCATATATTTTGACGACATCATACGAGGAACTTTAATATCTTGTTGACCATGACCATGTTGTAATGATGTACCAGTACCAAATGAAAAAACTTTACCAGATCGATCAATAACAAATGAAACATGATTACCACAAGAAATATCGACTATATTGGATAAATTTGGTATAAGTGTTGGCTGACTTAAATGTTTTGTTAATTGATCAATACCCAGTTGACCTTCATGATGTCGACCCATTGCATAAACTTCACCTTAAATAAGAAAATGCAATTTTTTTATTAAGAAATTTTTATTTTATTACCATCAGCAGTTAAACCAAGTGTATGATGAAGTCCACCGGAAAATTTTACCCATTTTTTACCTTCAAGTGAAGGAATAAATGTCGGAAAATAAACTGGTTCATCGACTGGTAAACCTTAAATTTACAAATGAAAAAAATTCAATTTTATTTTCCTTAAAATTCTCTAATTACCAAGTTGATTAAAATTATTTAAACCACCACCTAATATCCAATCATGACCATGAACTTTTAAAAAGAAATGATGTGAGCCAGAAAAAATATCGTCAAATAATAAATTTTTAGCTTTTATTCCCATTCGATTATAAATAATCGGTGCAGGTTTAATTAATCGGTCTAAAATAAACAAAAACTTTTCATCATTTTATTTTCATTTTACTTTAAAGTTTTACCAATGCCTCCTCGTAATCCATCTTCAGCTGCATAACGATTTAATCTTGCAAGTTGACCTGTTTCACCATTGCCACATGAATAAACATGTCCAGTTTCACTTAGAAATAAAACAAAATCATAACCACTTGCTAATTTAACAATTTTTTCTGGTAAAATTATTTCAACTGGTGTTTTAGCCATTACACCTTTTTGTACAAGACCATAAACACCAGTTGTACTTGAACGAAATGTACCCCAACCTATTCAAATCATAGAAAAAAGAATAAATTACGAATGAATATACTTAGATGTTCTCTTCCGATTTCAATGAATTAGAGCCCTATTGAGATACATTGTGTCGGCTGAAAACTGATTTGACAACTAAAGGACGTCTTCCAAAGCTATCGATATTTTACGGACCCTAGATTTTTGGAAGACTCATAGCTTCGAACTTTGATCTGAAACTTTGTGCATATAAATGACTCAACTAGACTAGCCTTCATAAGAAAATTTACCAGTTTTCAACAAAGTCTCTTGGAGATATGAGACTTCAAAACTCTTGATTTTTTCATGGAAGCTAGTCTGATTGAGTTCTCTATATAAACACTTCAAATCGAAATTCGATAGCTTACAAGTGAATCCATCCGACTGATAATCTCCATTTGAGTCCATAAGTAGGACTCATAGTGTAGATTGAGATCCTGAAACGGTTCCTGCTATTAAGCTTTTCTTCTCGAGCTATGGTCATTTTACTGAAGTTTCAGTGAGAAATTCTTCCTAATAATAGCTCTTACGGTATCCTGAAAATTTGGCTATTTTTGAAGCTCTGGTGTGAAAGTAACGTTTTATTTCAGAAGCAAAATATCCGTTTGATCTGAAATAATTCAGAATACTATAAGAGTTATTGTTGAGAAGAAATTCAGGTCGAAACTCTTTTTAGACTTCTTCATTAGAATACTATATAGTATTTATAGTTAAAAATTCATTGAAATCGGAAGAGTGCATATGAATCGTTAGTGAGGAAGAACTTTTTTTTATTTACCATACACTTTTCCTGCATCCGATAAAACTAATGTATGACTATCGCCTGCAACAATTTGAATAATTTTTTCTTGATCTATATCCATAACACCACTCATATCAACTAATCCAAATTGATCAGCTTGATCATCATCTTCATCAATAATATTCTCTGGTCTACCCAATGCATGTTCATCATTACAACCAAATGTATATATTTGATTTTTTTCTGTAAGACATACGGAATGAAGTGGACCAGTAGCTATTTGTATAATAGGTTCAGGTAATGGAACAGGTTGTGGATTTTGTCGTTCACTTATAGCACTTTTAAGACCTAATTGTGCCATACCATTGTCACCGACAGCTAATACTTGACCACCTTTCGATAATGAAAATGATGAAAATGATACATTTATTACAGATGACGCTGATGGAGTTTTTGCACGTGATTTTACTTTTGCTGTATAACCATCTAAAACAAAAAACTAACATTCGTTTGTTTTATATTTAAAGAACAATAAACATACTTGTTACATGAACAACTTCAGGTGCTGGTTTTGTACGTTTTTGTGGATGATGATCACCGTTTTGTAAATCTATGAATATTTATTTTTTATTTATATTTTCAAGAAATTAATTAAATAAAACAAACCATCTTGATGATCACTGTCGTCTTCTAATGAACGTTTTTTGGATTTAGTTGATGATATTTGTTTATTTTTCGTTGATGGTCGACCGGCTTTTGTTCGAGCTAAAATGACGAAAAAATTAACTAAAGATTAAGAAGAAAATATTCATTTACCTGAAGTGGGCATTGTTGAAAATAGAAAATAATTAAACAATCTAAAAGTTTAAACATATGATTAAAAAAATAAGTGATAATATTAAACGTATAAAACAATAGAAGACTGCCGTTTATAGAACAAATTTAGACGTCATTATACAACTTTCGTCATTGATTATAATTCAAGCTAAATATTTGTTGCATTTATTTTCATTCATCATAAACAAAGAACAGCAAGTAACGAGTCATAAATTGTCGTATTATATGAAAGGTTTTCTAGATGTCGCTTTCTATCAATTCTTGCATCAAATCTCGTATCTGAAAAATACACCGAGGACATTGCTTTTGTGCAGATTAAAGGCATTTACATCTTTAAATCTAAGCTATCCTGTGATACATTGAGGTGTAAATATCTTAAGACGACATAATAGATAAAAAAAGAAGCTGTATGAAACTGATTATGCAGTAGATGTGGTAATGTATTTTTAATATGTATGTTTATGCATGCATTTACATCGAAATCATAGTTATTCGGTAATAGAGCAATATATGATGATAATATCATATGAAATATTATTGCAATAACATCTATCAACATGTCCTGACATAGGAAATAATAACTATAGACTACAGATCAATTTGTAGCTGTTTACAGATGACATTTTATATCAACAGATACTCAAACGTTCGTTTTTTTTGTAGAACTATAATATTGTGAAGTTGTGGAAGAATAGTAAACAATTACTGATAACCTACGATGCAAAAATAAGTGCCCAACATGTTCTAACATGGTCATCCAATTAAGAATATAGTTGAAAGTCAATTTTATTTTTTATTTAAAAACAAAATCAACAAATATTATATCAGCCGTTATGCCACATATAATATAATTGCTTTTGAACGTCCGTTATCATAGCTTGAAACTTATTAATACACTCTCGGACAAAAATCTTTCCCTTCTTTGTCCTTTTTATGTAGCCAAATTCTGCATTATATTTATTAACGAGTAAATATGACATAAAAGTTTTATTTCATTTTGGTGTAGAGAAAACACGGTAATAAAACAATCATATCATATATTTACTTAGTAATATACCTCATGGAATGCATGACAGTGTAAAAAGACGAAAGGAGAAAAGACTTTTGTCCGTTGGTGTAACTTTTGCTGACCTGAATCATTCACATTACGACTTTTAGTGAAAATTCTTTTTTTTCCTCTTAAATTTGACATCAGATGAAGTTGTTAATGAACCGATTATATAATATGTTTCATTCGATAGAAATGTATTACCAATTAAGCAACCCGTTTCTAGAGTTTCTTGGAAACGGCTGGGCGAAAAATTATGGAACTTTTAAGGCAAATAAATCTCCTAAACACGTAACTGAATATGACTAAGATTCGCATGAAAAGATTTGAGCCTGACCCGACATACTTTGTAGGGGAAAAGAGAGAGAGAGGATTTTTTTTTTCAAAAATTGATTTTTTGAGAAAAACAAAAAACAAATTTTCCTCCAACTAGGGTGACCGAAAGTTGGTAGTGTTTAGCGATTTGACGGACTCATGGCCTGTGCTCTTGTAAAAGATGTGAACCTCTTAAGAGGTTAACTCTGTAGATCGAAGAAGATGAATGCCAGATCGGAATGTCTTTTATTGCGAAATTCTGTTATGAAAGGAAAAAATTTGTACGAGAGCAAAGAAAAGAAAATAGTGAACGTGCTGTGATAGAAAGATACATTAGGATGAGACATCACGGTGTGGAACTCGGTCGCTCTGTAGCAGGTCTAAGAACCTTTGGCATGAGAAATAACCATTATCATTAGGAGAATTCTATATAGAAAAGAATAATCATAGCGTAAACTTTTCTGCTAGAGATTTTGAAAGTTGGATTTAATAACAGTACTAGATCACAAAGACGACTGCTCATTTGACAGAGAACACTTCAGGGTTATATTAGCAATGAAAAATCTTAGCCTAAAATATTTTTCATCGTCCAAAATAATATTACAACCGTTTAAAATCATTCCGTAGAATTTATCAGAACCTGTTCTAACTAACTTTGCTTGATCTTCATTTTCTCATCTTTCATCTTCTTCTGATGACAATCAATGTTCTGTTTCTCAATGTACGATTAATTATTATTTGATGAACTTTATAACATCTTGCAACTTGACGTTGACTGATACTGATTTTATTATTGATAGTTTTCAACAAGCCATTCATCATTTTAGTTGAATGACCTTTTCGTAATAAAAATTTGTTTGCAAAATGAACTAGATATTCTGTTAGCACATATCAAATAGTTCCTTCCGATATATTATTTTCAAGCTTTTATTTGCTTAGAAAGTTGAGAACATGTTCTTTTAAATAAAAGAAAAAGCGCATTGACTCTTCACGATTTTCCTGAGCAGAGAAACAGGTCTGGACATTTCGCCAATTAATTGTGCATTATAGTTTAGACATATAATTAGAAATGTTATCTGATTAAGATAATCCTCATACTACAAAGATCTTTGTGTTAATAGAGTAACTAGGACGTTATAGGTGGTAGAGCAGTACTTCTACGAGCTTTGTGGAAATCCATGCACTATAGCGTTGATGATGATAATTTTCACGTTTTCTTTTTTTGAATGATAGGGCAATGCTTTGTCTGACACAACTTTACTTACGTCACTGCTTTGAATTCTTAATCTTGCAATATGGAAATCGATATTTAATGAAAAATGAGATAACAATTTCATGTCATCTGTATCTGAATAAAACTTTATAATGCACATAAGCATTGAATTTAACATAATAGGAAAACAATATAGAAAAACATAAATATGTTTTACATAAACAATATTCTTTCCTTCAGTGATTAAATAAACACTATAACTTATAATCATAATCGATTACTTCATTGAACTGTAATTGACATTGAAGTAAAAAATAAAATATATGCAGTACTCTTGAGAATCTTATTATTTCCGCTACAAAGAATAAGTCAATAAAAAAAAAACTTAATCATTAAATTCAACCATCTATTCCTATATTTATTTATTCTTAAATGAAATCGATCATTTTTCATCATACTAAATTTTATTTTTATGAATACGCTTTTTTTTTTTGGCACAAAATGATAAGAGAGATTTTATGAAGTAAGTATATTCGATAGGGAGATACTACTTAAACGAATTGACTATCGACTAAATGGTAAAATGCATAATAAAGGTTGACTACAATTTTTTAATTTTTCGCCAAATCAGTAAGTGATTGTGTTGAACCATGTGTTGCTTCTCCTTCATGTTTTGTACCAGGTCGACCTTCATGTGGATTAGGTAATGGATGAAGTGCTGGTTGAACATTCCAAATGTCACGAGCATATTCCGCTATAGTACGATCACTTGAGAATTTACCCGATGCTGCAATATTTAAAATACTTTTCTTTGTCCAAGCAATTGGATCCTAATTAAATACAAAATAAATTTTAATAAACAAAAACAAAAGAAAAAAAACTAACTTTAAAAAGTTCGCTAACTCTGTCTTGACTTTTAATATAACTTTCATAATCAGCTAAAAGCATATAACTAAAAAGAAAACATGAATAGAAAATTTATTTATGTTCATATAAAATAAACATACCGGTCTCCATGGTCACATAATAAACTATTGACAACATCATGAAATAATTCTGGATTTTCTGGTGAGAAAAATCCATTATTAATTTGATCAATAGCTTTTTTGAGCTCGTTATTATTTTCATAAAAATGTCTTGCACAATATCTAAATAGAAAAATTCATATATATATATACATGTTCGCAGTGTTTTATTCAAATTTTGTCTTTGGAAAGAGCAAATTAAAACTCCGAGAAGGCGAACACCTATCGTAGGGAGCCCAATAGGTATCTGCATGTCATCTAGACCCGGACCCTAGTTCACAAGACTGTGGATCCGCTGGTTCCTAGAGCACAGACACATAGTACGTAGCATGATAACCATAGACTCCAGAAGGATCAATCCCGTCTCCAGTAAGACACTGCCCTCTTGTTGAATAAAATATGGTACGTTCGATATCTTTTTCTTGTGTCAAATTTAAAGTCTTTTTACCCTTCTCGTTCACGTTTTTCAACTTCTTCAACCGTCATACCAAATATAAATATATTATCATTTCCAACTTCTTCAGCCATTTCAACATTTGCACCATCTAATGTACAAATTGTTAATGAACCATTTAACATAAATTTCATATTTGATGTTCCACTTGCTTCCATTCCAGCAAGTGAGATTTGTTCAGATAAGTCAGCAGCTGGAATAATTTGTTCAGCTAATGTTACACGATACTAAAAAAGAAATTATTTTTTGTATTGACTAATTTGATTTTAGATTTTAGAATATTTTTACATTTTCAAGAAAGACAACTTTAAGGCGATCACCAATAATAGGATCATTATTAACAATTTTACCAACACTATTAACCTATAAATGAAAAGACATAGAGTTTTTTTTATATTTTTAAGCGTCTATTATTTACTAATTTAATAATCTTCTTTGCCATATGGTAACCAGGAGCAGCCTATGAAAAAGAAAACAACAAATTATTGAAGAAAATTAAAATATATAATTACAAAATTCGTAGTAAACTTTATCTATTCCTGCAAAGTATTTTCATAGTTCGGTATGATCGTTTTGGCATATTCAATTGATTCTATCATATCGGTTTTTTTCTTTTAAACATAACGCTATTTCACGCTAATCTTTCAGTAAACGAATAATATGTTAACGTTTTTTTTTTCTGAATTCCAGGATTTCGGAAAATGCATATTTTCGAATTTTGATCTAAAACTTTGTGTATATAGAGCATTGAAATAGACTGTTTTACATAAAAAAAAAGTTTACAAGTATTTAGAAAATCAAGATCCTCTAAAAAAAAGTCGATAGCTTTGCCAAATCTCAATAGGAAGCCAAATTATTTTAGGATTCCATGTCGCATCAACGAACAAGAAAAAATCATCAAAATCGGAAGGAATTTTTTTTCGTTCTGATGTTTATCGCTAAGAAATGATTGAAGAGCAAGATCATAATTGTAACATCTGTCCTAAAACTGGATTAGTTCTGTATCAAGATGTAGGTTGATGAAAAGGTTATATAAGATTATTTAAAGATATAACACGTATGCGTTATACCTCAACTGAGATGCGCTTACACATCTACAAAAAGTGGAGATATAGTATCATATATATTGTTTTGAAAAATTTACTTTTTTTTGTTTTTTGGATGCTGTTAGTATTGAATTTCTTCATCTTCTGTTGATGAGATCAACAGACAAAATTGATTAGACCTAGATTTTGGAATGGCTACCCTTCCTGCTTTGCTCTCTGCGTTAGGTATGCACAAATTTTGATCTGCTCTCTGAAAACTATCTGCTAAATTTTCAACTCGTATAGTTTCCAAAATCTATCGAAAGACTTGATAAAAATTCTAAAATCGTTAGATTGAATGAGCTATCCTTTTTTGGTATTCTCAATTATCTATTATGCTTTCTAACCTTTCCACCAATCATAACCGTTCTTGGTACATATTTTCCATCAGGATTAGCTCGAATACGATTATATAATGTAATAATATGTAGAATATTTAATAATTGTCGTTTATATTCATGTATACGTTTAACTTGCATATCATACATTGACATTGGATTAATTTTTTGATTTTGTGTTTTTAAAAGCCATTCAGCTAAACGTTGTTTATTTTCTTGTTTAACACGTTGAATATCTCGTACGAATACTTCATTATTAATGTGTTCTCTTAAACGTTTAAGTTGATCAAGATTTGTTATCCAATCTTCTCCAATTTTCTAAGCACGAAAAAATAAATAAATAAAATAACTTAGAAAGTCTCGTTTTTTTTTTTTGAATATTTTACTTCAGCAAGAGCATCACTTAAATTTGGATTACTTAAAACAAGCCAACGACGTGGTGTTATACCATTTGTTTTATTTTGAAATTTGTCTGGTGATAATTCATAAAAAGATTTAAAACTAAAATCAAATCAAATTAATAAAATGCTTTCAAAAGAAAAAGAATTAATATTATTTACAGAGTTGTTTTAAGAAGGTCTGAATGAATTTGTGCAACTCCATTAACTGCATGAGATCCCTAGAATATTAAAATTAAATTTATTTATTAAATCAATAAAGAAGTGGAGTGTCGATAACTGATGAAACCAGTTCCGTAGAAAAATTTGGTTTCTTCTATGTTAAACTCTTACACAACGTGTCCGAAAGTGATTACTAGTGGAATTAGTCCTATAGTTAATAGCTGTCACATGTACACTGGATCTAGCTGTTGATGGTAATCAATTTTTTTTTGATCTATCGATTTGATGACTGATCAGGCTAGCTTTCATATAGTTTTATAGTGCTACAGAATAGTAAAACAATGTCGAGAGTAAAAGCATTGCCTTTTAAGAAAAATTCAAAGGTTACTATTTTGAAGACATGATTTCATGCTTTTTATGGTTGATATCCTGATTAGAGAAAAGAGATTTGAATAGAAAATCATGTAATATTCTAAATTAGCATTCAAAATTGAGTAGATCTGTGTGAGTTTCAAGTGTTTTTATGTTGTAAGATGATATTAAAGCTCAAAATCGTAGATGATAAAATAATAAAACTTGCGTTGTGATGAAATTCATTCCTGAGGGAGATCGCAGGTGAATTTTTCAACGAAAAACAAAGAAGTTTATAAAAATACTCGAAACTCGCATAGATCGACTCAATCTTGAATGATGATTCAGAAGATCATATTACTTTTACCCAGATCGCTATTCTCTCACCGGAATACCAATCACAAAAGGCATAAAATCAAGTCTTCAGAATAGTAACCTTTGAAGTTTTCTTAAGAGTCAATGTTTTTATTCTCGATACTTTTTTACCTTTTTGCAGCGATATCAAACTATATGAAAATTAGCCTGATCAATCATCAACTCGATGGACAAAAAAAAAGCTGATTATCATTAACAGCTGGATTCAGTGTACATGTGACAACCATTACCTATAGGACTAATTCCCTCAGAAATTACTTTTAGAGACTTTGTATAAGAATTTGACAGAGAGAAAATCAAACTTCTTGAGGGAAATATTCTCATCAGCTGCCGACATCGCTCGTTCTTTTTTACTTACAACAATAGCTAAATAAGCCATATTAATACGCTTATCATTACCTTCTTCAACAATAGATAAAGCTTGAAGACGATTACCGTCTCCTGGGTAACGTGCAGCAACTTCCTAATAAATAAATTTCAATATTATAAATTGTAACATTTCATAAAGAATTTTTTTACTTGAAGATGGCGTAAATTAATATCATAAATAATTTGTAAATGTCGTGGTAAAACATGTTCTAATAAACCAACAGACCATCGTTCAACAGCTTCAGGCATAAGTGTATGATTTGTATAAGCACATGAACGTTTGGTTATATCCCATGCTTTCTCCCACGACAAACCTTCAATATCAACTAACAAACGCATTAATTCAGCAATAGTTAATGCTGGATGTGTATCATTAAGTTGTATAGCAACCTATATAAAAAAAAATTATTTTAACTATTTTTTTGTTTGAATTATATTAATAATTACTTTTTCCGGAAATGTATTAAAATCATCACGAGTTGTTGTAGATGTACCAAATTTAGAATGTTTATATCTTCGAATTATATCCGACAAAGTAGCAGCAACAAGAAAATATTCTTGTTTAAGACGAAGTTCTTTTCCTTGCATATACTTAAGTAAAATTACAATCAAAATAAACGTTAGATATTTAACAAATAAAAATGAACTTTTTTTACATTATCATTTGGATATAGAACTCGTGTTACATTTTCAGCTAAACTTTGATCACTAACTGCATTAAGATAATCTCCATCATTAACTAAAAAAACAAAAATATTAATAGATAAATGGAATTAAAAACATCTGAAACTAACAAAACTGAAAATTAAATTTTTGGGCAGCTTTTGCGCTCCATAATCGAAGTGTATTAACAACCTAGAAGATCAAAATGTAATTTTTTTTTTTTTTTTGCAAACTTTATCATTTACGTTGTTATTGAAACCTGGTACTGGAGTGTCATATGGCATAGCCATGATAACCTAAACAAAAAAAATATTTATGTTTTTTTATTCATAAAAAATAAATTAAATACTTTTGTATCAACCCATTTTGGTTTTCCATTTTGATCGACAACACGACCATAAAGATTAACGGGTATTTGATATTCTGGTCGAGGAATTTCCCATGGATTTCCATAACGTAACCTAAATCAAATTATCAAAAAAAAAAAGAATTTCTCTCTCTATATATACAGTACTCGTCAGAAGTCCCTGGACATGTCAAAATCCAGGTAAAGCTGAACCATTTTCCACGAAATTTTTACCAGAAATAGAGTTCGCAAAACTGTGATCGCAAGCACCAATCAGAGCTTGATTGGCTGAGATAGGATAGAGTTTGGTTCAAAAACATTGCTGTCAACTTTCGTGACTTTGATCTCAACATTCAATGAATTTTATCAACTTCGTTCACTTATCAACTCAAACCGAATTATGTCTCGCATCTTTGACGTAACTTTTAAATTTAGTGTGTATGAAAATTGCGTAGAAGAATATCAAAAAATAACCCAGTTTGAATTGATAAATGAAAGAAATTGGCAAAACTTCTTTGAATGTTGAGATCACAGTCACGAAAGTTGAAAGTAATGTTTTAAACCAAACTCTATCCTATCTCAGTCAATCGAGCTCGGGTTGGTGCTTCCGAACACAGTTTTACGAACACTATCTCTGATAAATATTTCGTAGAAAATGCTTCAGCTTTATCTGGATTCTGACATGTCCAGAGACTTCTGACAGGTACTGTATATATCTAATTACCAATCATCAGGTTCTTCGCATTGAAATCCATCTTTGATTGTTTGTTGAAATATACCGTATTCATAACTAAATAAAAGTTTTAAAAATAAATCTTAACAAAAAAAAAATTTATCTCTACCGTAATCCATAACCATAACCAGCTAGACCAAGTGTAGCCATTGAATCAAGAAAGCAAGCAGCAAGTCGACCAAGACCACCATTACCTAAACCAGCATCTTCTTCAAGTTCTTCTAATTCTTCAATTGACAAACCAAACTAAATAAATAAACATAAATAAATAAGAAAAAAGAATGTTTTTTTTTTTACTTCATATAATGCTTCATCTAATTCCGATTCAATACCAAGATTAATCATAATATTTGATAATGAACGTCCCATATAATATTCTAATGATAAATAATAAACACGTTTTGGATCGGTTTCATAATAATGTTGTTGTGTACGAATCCATCGACCAACAAGATGATCGCGTACTGTATATGCTGTTGATAAAAAATAATCACGATTTGTAGCTACATTGCGATCTTTAACAATAGTAAAATGTAAATGACGATTGAATGTTTTCTTAACAGATGCAACATTTTCTAATATTGGTAGACCACGAATCGATATTTGTTTACGACGATCTTTATCAGTTAGAGGAGGTTTTGATGCTGATTTTGACATCGTTTAGATTTTGCTTACAAAATATCAATTAAAACCTAAAATGATGATAAGAATAAGAAAAAAAATTACCATAGAAAACGCAAAAAAAAACCTAGTTAACTATTCTAGCTCTGAAAAAAAAACACTTCTATGTCTCTGCTTCTATGCGAACGTTCGAAAGAGAAAAGAAAAACAAAAAAGAAAAGAAGAAGAAAAAAAAGCCGTCCAATATTTTCTATTCCTGTTATAGAGAAAGTATACAAAAACACATTTGTCCTCTAACCATCTCATCATATGACGTGTTCTCTAACGTCTGGAGGATGGAATGTAAAAAATAGAGCCAGAATTGTTGTTCTATAGAAAAGACGATCGCTGTAGAAAGAATAGAGAGAAAAGAAAAGCTATCGTGAAAAAGAAAAATAACTGCTTATTGACGTTGCTTGTAGACACCGAGCAAAACATTAAGGTCATTATTCATTGGAACATGTACTTAACAAGAGAGAAAAATTTTCTTTTTATTCTTTGTTTAAGTAAAACAATTAAGTTACAAAATGAAAGAAAAAAAAAACAAATAAAATAGTTCATTAACTAATGTCGAAATATTTTATCAGATTAGTTTTTTACATTTATTTATATGTTTCAGTAATTATTAAAGAACTATGATTTGTTATTCGATGAAAACATTTCTATATTAAAATTTCTTTTCAGACATGGTAACAGGTCTTTTTATACCAACGAAAACATGTTCGAACGCTACTTGAAGAATATTTAGCCTCCGGATAATGAAACATGATTGAATAATTTCTTCTTTGTTCTTTATTCGAGCAATTTTACATCTTATATTGAAACCTTATTTATTTACGTTACATTAAAGTAAAAATGAAACGTGGTAATCTGTAGGGTATCGTTTGACAATTAACAGAACATATTGCATGACTGTAAGCTTCAATAAAGCTGCTATATTTGAATATGGTGATATGTGTTTTTTTCTCTGATTTAGCTTCTTTTTTTTTTTTATATAGTCATCTACACATATTTTTATTCTGCTTCCGTTTGATTACCGGGTATGAGCAAGAAAAAGAAAACGCAAATAAAGAAATTGTTGTGTGTTAATGATCTATAGATAATATTAAAATATAGCAGATTTATCGTATAAATATTCAATAATTGAAAATATTTTTATTTGATCTTAGCAAAAAAATTGAATATAAGACAGCTATGTCTCTGTGTAGGGATATTCATAAAAGCATAATATATATGGGATTGTTTGGAATAATGGTGTGTGATTACCGACTTCTCTTAATGGATCTATCATTTATTAATTGATTGTATCAATGATTTCAATACCATAGAATATTTTTCTTGATTGTAAAGGATGCTAAGTTATTACTTGATTATAGAGTCGAGTTAAGTCGACTATAGAAAATAATATGGTAGGAGATGTTCGAAAATTTTTATTCCATGAAAATCGTTATTTATTGGTTGTCTCTACAAGTGAAAAAAGGCTTAAACAACTACATAAAAATAATTGAAATATCTCGTATTGGCTTAAATAGAGTTTTGATTAGGAAAAGATTGTGTGAGAGGGTGAAAGATGATTATAACATGGAGTCATTGAAATCTAATCAAAGAGCACTTGGAATCAGCTGTTTCTCCTTTGATAATTCCTTGAGGATATCTCAAATTTCTCTTTTTTTCGTTTCAATGATAGAAAAGATTGTTCTTCTTATTCATAATAGGCAATATTAGAGCTGATAAATTACCGTTACGTTATCAGTCACACGTTATCAAGTAACGGAGAATTTATGAGTTTATCAAGGAAAGACTATTATACAGATAAAATGTGATCAAAGGTCTTTAGGATCAAGAAGCGCAAATCTATAATCGATCCAGAAAACTCGTAATCATACTATAAAAAAACCGCTATTTTCTTTCAATAGTTATTTCCTGACGAGCGAGTCACATCTACAATTTTCCCATTATCCCGTTACTCAGTAACTTCTCTCCCCTATTCTAATTACCAGAACCTTTGGAATCGATAGAATCATGGAGCCAACTGTTCCCCTCTCCCACCCTTGGGCTTATAGCTGAGTTTGGCACATGTGGTTTCATTCGTTCTGATATTCAAAGCTTCAGTGTAGAAGAATCAGCTTTTTTCTCTAGTCTTCATTCCTGCTGGAGTTGTAATCGGGCCAAACCAGTTGGTCTTCACCAATTGGAAAATATTGTCTAGATATGTCATTTTTCTCTGATAAAGCTTGTTAATAGCAAGTTCGCTTGCTGTAATCGAATTGCATAAATTAAGAAAGATCATTAATTGATTTTTATTGTTTAATTCAATATAAGTCTCTTCCTGTTTTAATTACAAAAATTTATAATAAAAATCTAAAAGCGTCTCGGGCGTATTATCTGTCTTCTTCATTTAGTATACCAATAAAGTAATGTTATTACTACGTATAGCGGAATAAAAAAATAAAAACACTTAAGTTTTATCGATTGGTATCACCATCTTGTCATCTGTTCCACTATTAGAGAAATCAGAATGTTGTCTTATTTGAGCTAATATTATCTCATATATGTTATGGTAAAGATCAAATTTAGGCTTGTATGAAAAATCTGAATGACAATTTCAAGCTTGGAAATGTAGCAATTAATTGATTGATAAATTATTCTTTTTTTTTGGGCTATGTATGGAAACATCACATATTCATCTGTGAGAAACCTAACAGATATAAATGACTATAAGACGATATTGTTTCCCCTGAAGATTTGTAAAAATCTCAGTAGAATGAAGGAAATACATATCTTTTTAAGTCATTCTCATTAACCGATTCAACAAACTGGGCCCCTTCAAACGTTCTCAACCGGCTGTAATTCTCATCTTTGCCATTGGTTACGTACTAGTATCTCCGTAGTTTTCTGTTTTTGTGCGCAATATTATTCGTTCATCATACATTCAACGGAATGTTTTTGCATTGCAAATTGATTTTCTTTACTTGACACAAGCTGCTTTTTTTTGAACCGAAAGTATCAGTGATGTGAATCTTATTATTCTTTTCTAGCTCTATGAAACTAATGAGATTAAAAAAAAAATTTCAAAGATAATTTTAGTCATATTGCAGAGTTCGTTAAATGATATTTTAATAATTGATTGAGATCATTCATAATAAAGTGTCAAATTAAATCTCGACATTCATAAACCTCGAAGAAACTGAAAACAAACAAAAGAAAGATTCCTTATATTCTTCATTTCTTATATCCCTGGATTTAGGTTTACATATTTTATATAGACCGAAATGTGACGGACATCATTTTCTCTTATTAATATTGACCGTTCGTTGTAGTTCATCGTTCTATATATGCCTAGAATATAATATACGGGTCTGAATATTTACAATATCCACGTGTTCAATTCGCCGGAGAGAGCATCGAACATTCTAGAAGCATTCGAACGTTAGAAGAAAAACACCGTTTTGTACTTTAGATTAACAAAGAAACGATTATCGATTTTAAATTTAATTTAAAGAAAAGTAAAATAACTAAAAAAGAACTATTGTATGAAAAGTGAAGTTATTTTTACCCAATAAAAAAAAGTTAAATTGTTCAATGTTATAGTTGATTGACGTCCAAAAGATTTGAATTATCATCATGGAATCAGTTGGACGTGCACGCGGACGTGGTCGAGCTAATCTATTTAATTTAAGTTAGTTCGTTCTTAGATATATATATATATATATATAAATTTTTTTGATTTGTATCGCTTATCTTTGTTTTTCAATTAGCTGGTCAATCAGATGTTAATCCACGACCAGGTGCATTTGCAAATGCTGCTGCAGCTGTTTCATCACTTCCTGTTCCTAGTTCAGCTTCATCTGGTTTATTGATTTTTTTTAGCTAGTTTTTCCTATAAAATAATTTCCCAATTCTTTTTATAGTTCTAACATCAACAACACCTACAGAAAAACAACCACCGACATCAACAGGCACATCGGTTGAGGTGAACTTTTTGTAATTGTTCATTTTTTTCTTTTTGAATATACAACTATAATCTAGCCAATATCGTCAACAACAAAATCAACTGTTGACAAACCTCGTCGTGGCAATGCACCTGTTATAATGGCAGCACCACGAGGCAAAGGTGTTGAACATCTTGTATCAGATTTAGCTGTTCTATCGACAAGTGAACGTCAGACTGGTTCTGGACGCGGAACACCATGGTCAAATATAGCTTTACCAAAGACTAAACCAACTCATATTGATGATAAACGAGGTACATATTGATAAGAAAGAAAAGCCAAAAAACTATTTTCCATAAAAAATCTGTTTCTTGTAGGTGTCAGTGGTGATCCAATTAGTATTGTTGCTAACTATATTCGTATTTTATCTAAACCATCATGGCAACTTTTTCAATATCATATTGGTAAATAACTTTGTGACAACACGTTCTAAAAGGAGTATTGAAGTATTATTGGGTACAAAATTGGAATCGCCCCCTCCCCCCCTCATCTCCCTTAAAGAGACCGTGACAGACACGTGCGTTAGAAACAACTCATCATAGACATGACAAATACTTAAGAAATATTTCCGCGCTAGGGCCGATTGAGCGCAGATGCGAAAATTTCGGATCCAATGGGCTCAAGTCGTCTGAGAAATGTGAAAGATACGTTAGTCACAACTAAAAAAAAAACTGGGAAAAAATATCTGGTATCTTCGAGATAATCGTCAGATTTCGATTAGAAAATTGCATTGAGTATCAAATTACGGTTCGACCAGATCTACATTCAAGTCCCAAAACGTTTAATAAATCGGGTTCGGATTGAAAAATTTTCGATTCATCCGGGTCTATCCTCTGGCATATCTGTCTGTCACAGACTCTGACAGACGTTGTTGGTATATAGTCAAAGGCCGCATCTCAATAACAGCTTTCTTTTACGATTTTGCTCAACATTTTTTTTTGTTTAGATTTTAATCCAGAAGAAATGGTTATACAACGAAAAATGCGTCGAGAAATGGTAAAATTT